TTTGCTGTAAATTAATTTTGTCTGTTTTTGAACTTCATATAAAGGGAATCTGTACCAGCATGTCCTGATGACTAGTGTCTCGTTCCTTCGACCTACTGTTTTGTCTCATACATTCCTTACCTGACTGTCTTCTCCTCCTCTGGGACTCAGCTTCGGTCTCCTCTCCTTGGAGAAGCTTCCCCGACCGCTCCGGTTAGGCACACTTCCCGGTCCATTATCTTCATGCACAGCACCCTCTTTGTTTCCTTCATAGTTTTATCACAACCTACGATTATTAGTTGTTTCTTGCTTACCATCTATTTCATACTAGTCTGTAGACTCAGTGGACACAGGACACAGTTTGGTCTTGTCCACCCTTCTCTTCCCAGTGGCCTAGTGCAATGCCCGGCAGAATCACAGGCGGTCATAAATATTTATGGACGGACTGACTGCATGGATGGACTCTGCTTCATTTCCTTGTATTGAAGTAAAAAAAAGTTTTGAAACTTACTCATAGTTGACAAAAGGCTATTGAAGGTAATTCTGGAGTTTGCTAAGACTTTATGAATATCTTCTCTTATGAGCAGATAGATGGAGATGACAGTACAGAATTGTGTACCCAGATGAAAATGATCAAATGTAGGAATAGCAATCTTGAGGCAGATGTTTAGAAGTTCTCCCTTGGTCAGCATTTTTACAGAGACTTAAGTGAAGGCATCATCACCATGACAGATTTACACGCTGAGAGTTTTGGGAGGTGTAGTGATTGCCTTGGGTAACTGAGGATGACTCCGGAGAGATGTGGAGGGGATGGATAGAAAGACGAGTTGAGTCTATCAAGATGAAATTTGAAGTGACAAGCGTAGAGTCTTGCACTTAGGTTCTAATAGTCAGCCTCAAATCAGCACAGAGAAAGGTGGCTTGGTAGTCCGTGTAAGAAAGGCCTGAGGCGTTCAGGTGACTGAAGTTGTATGCGAGTCTGCAGGCGGATTGTGTTGCTTAGGGCAGTAATATGTTCAGCTCAGTTAGAGAAGTAAGTTATTGAGAAAGAAGAGCTTATAGTCGTATTCTTGATCTGCTCAGCGCACCACTAGAAATGCTCCTGTTGCCCTGGATCACACCTTTGTGTGTGTTGGTGTAACAACAAATTGGATCGCCCGGTGCACAGGCCACCTGTTTTGTGAATAAAGTTGTATGTGAACACAGCCATGCTCATTTGTTTACATATTTTCTGTGATGACTGTTTTCCTGTTTCATTGGCAGTGTTGGGTGTTTGTTACAGAGACCTAAAATATTTATGATCTGGCCCTTGACAGAGAATGCTTTTCCACCTCTGGTCTATGGAGCTAGACCTACATGATAAAGGAGGTGGAAACCATGGCAAAAGGGGAGCAGCAAAAGGACCATGGGGTGTTCTCAGGTGAAGACATGTGTGAGGTGTGACAGGGAAAGCTGTCTTCAAATATTGGAAGGAATGTTGTTTGGATGAAAAATTAGACCCTTTCTTGTCTGTGTAACTTCGTAGGGTTCTGAGATTTTGCGCTGGAATGATTCTCTCAGACTCATGCTGTGGTCCTCAAGCATCTCTCCAAGGCTGTAGCTTGGTCTGACCCGGCAGATTGGGGTTGAGCACGGCACAGCGGAACATCCTCCCGGTTAGGTGTTCTGGTGTATATCAAAACATCATTCCAATGGAAGCTGAAAATATTTTAGCCAGCCTTACCAAATAACCTAAATCTAGCTTAGCACCTTTAAAAGCTTATATTTTACTTGTTTTTTTCACACATGTGGAAGGTTTGAATCATTCTTCTTTCCTACTATTGATTCCCAAGATGGTTTCAAGTTTCTGTGTTTATACAAAGTGACAAGTGACCTTAAAAAGCATTCAGGAGAGCCACGCAGTTTCAGCAAAGTAAGGGTCCCCTCTTGGCCAGGTGAGGAGAGAGCCGTGTGGTTTCGGCCAAAGTGCAGACCCCTGCAGCCAGGTGAAAGGGAGAGCCACACGGTTTCAGCAGAGTGAAAGAATACCACTCGGCTTTGCCAGAATGGAGACCTCTGCAGCCAAGTGAAGAAGAAAGACACGTGCTTTTGGTCAGACTGCTGACCCCTGCAGCTTTGGTAGAAGAGACGCACCCGGCTTTGGGATGCCCCCCCTTTGGCCGCACATGTCCTGGAAAGTAGGAGAGACTTTGACTGGAACTTGGTATAAAGAACTCTTGCCAGTGGACCATGAGAGGGTGCCACATGAGTTTGGATTAACTAGAGATCCTGCCTGATGGTCAACACAGCTGACGATACAGCAACCTGAAACGTAGATGTGTGCTTCTTTTCCTGAGATATGGTACTCCGAGTTGGGACATTGGGAGAAGGGAGAGCTGTGTGTGTATGTGGGTGTATACCCTAAAGGACTTTGATATTTTAGTGGAGGCATTAGGCCTGAATAGCATTAAATAAACCTTTCCTTTCCTTCTCACACACACACACACACACAAAAAAAGCAAAAAAAAAAGCACTCAGGTGTGTAAGGCTAAAACACAGTGTTCTTTAGGTTTATTGCTTGCTGTCTTTTGTAATCTAATCTTAATCTTTCGTGCTGTACTTGAGTTCATCATCTTATTACGAAATGTAAAAGAGTCATTTTGACAAACAGACCTCATATTTAGTTCTTAACATTCTTTTTATAATTCTACTGGTCTCCTGAAATATAGATTTAGAGTTAAAATTTCAGAATTTAAAAAGAGCTTTTCAAATCAAAATACCATCAGTTAAGGACCTTCTTTTAGATCTAATTCAAATTATGGAAAGCTGTTGAATGAGACTCATTCAGCAAACATTTGAATTAAGAGCATTGTAGTTTGTGTATCGTATTAGCTATTTTGTGATTAGCTATTGTTCTGATTTGGGTTCATTACAACTTTTGTGCTTTGCCATAGGTGGTGGACTTGAAATGTGTGGTTTTCCAGTTTATCTGACCTGCTGGCTACATCACGTGGGTCTGGGTGCAGACTTCTGTGAAGTGAGGAGGCCAGGGCCTTCCCACCCTGTCATTGGCAGGCCTTAAGGGTTCATACTGGTTCTGTTCAAACGTTGTGTCAGTTGAGAGCTCCTTCATTCTGCAGGAGTTCAGATGTAGTGGTATTTACTATGTGGAAAGCTTTGTAGATAGTAGAGAACCATGAAGTAAAAGTTGATTTTGATAGGAACAGTATAATACTCAAATTAAGTAGGCTCTTGCTGAGAATCTGGAGGCAACACCATAGCTTCTAGCTCTGGCCAGCAGAGGCAAACTGTCTTCTCCATCCCGATTTTCTTTTCTTTTCTTTTTTTTTTTTTTAAGGTTTTATTTGCTTACTTTTAGAGACAAAGGAAGGGAGGGAAGAAGGAAACATCAATGTGTGGTTGCCTCTCACATGCCATCTACTGGGTACCTGGCCTGCAACCCAGGCATGTGCCCTGACTGGGAATTGAACCAGTGACCATTTGGTTTGCTGGCTGGCACTCAGTCCACTGAGTGACACCAGCAAAGGCCTCACCCCCATTTTCTTCCCACAGTTTATCTCAGATCTTTTGTCCGAGTTACCCCATTTCAGTCCGAATAGGATGGAGAAATGGAGGCACTCAGGCATGGAGTCTGTTGAATAAACATTCAACTCTCTTTGCTTGCAGTATTTTTAAGTACTTTTTTGTTCCGTCATACTTAAAAAAATATTTATTTATTTTTAGAGGAAAAGAGTTAGAGAAACATTGATGTGTGAGATGTACATCAGTCGGTTGCCTCTGGCACACCCCCCAACTGGACACCTGGCCCACAACCCAGGCATGTGCCCTGACTGGGTATTGAACTGGTGACCTTTTGGTTCTCAGGCCAGCACTCAATCCACTGAGACACACCAGCCAGGGCTGTTCCATCATACTTTTAAGTCTTGAGGCACCTATGAGAAAATATTCCCTGAATATTCATAAAACATTCAGGAAGTAATTTTGGTCTTTATGATTAAAAAAATAAATGGGAGTAAAAGGCAGAAAACTGTACTTGAACAACAATTAAAATAAAAGAAAAAGTTAGATACTCAAATGCTTACTATTTTCTTTATATGCATACCAAGCATAAGTACAAAACACAGTCAAACTTTTTTCAAACATTTGGCTAGTATGATGTTGCTTAAATGTTGGCTGGACGAGTCAGGTAATATTCCCACTTCTTAAGGATGGGAATTGTCCCTTCCCACAGCTAGTGGAGTACTGTCATGTGTGTGTGTCTGATGAATAAGTCATATATCACTCTTGAAGTTTTACATATTTATATACAGATATTGTTAAAATTTTCTTTGAATTTTTTACTAAGTAGCTCAATAATTGGGGAATAAACTTGGCTACAAGAGAATTCTGGAAAATAACCAGGAACCTGTTATTATCTTCCTTTGCTTATTTATGTAGTCTGTCACAAACACATTTAATAATAATAATAATAATATCTAATGCTTATATATATAACACTTACTGGGGCCAGGTACTATTCTAAGTGCCTCATGTGCATTATTATATTTACTTCCCTAATTTCTTATGGCAACCCTTTGAGGCAAAGGCTATCATCCTCATCTTACAGATGAAAAAATTAAGCAGAGAGGTTAAATAACTTATTCAAGGTCACACAGCTAGTAAGTGCAGTAGTGACGGTATCAAGTGGTGAAACAACTAGATTCCTGTAAGTTGAGAGGGGTGAAGAAGGTTGAGGAGTTGTATGGTGATGTTTGAATGCACATAGTGTACACTTTACTGATCCTATAGATTTTTCTACTGAAACATGATAATATGAAGGTTGAGTAAAAAAATATCTGGGTATGCTTGACAGTTTTTGCCTCATTTATATTGCTCCTCCAGTTTCCTTACTCAGATGATGACATCATGTAAATAGACATATTCCCCAAGTTACTTCTGTACCATTATTTTCAGCTAAGGAATTGTTCTGTTTGCTAGTATATAAGAATTAACTCTGAATATTTTCTTTCATTTCTTAACAGTACAGTGCTGTGGATTCCAACCCACTTTCTCTGTATGTCATGCATCCATTTTGGAACACTGTAGTAAAGGTAAGGTGATTAATAGGCATGCACTTATGTTTTAGAAAGTTTTAAATATTTTAAACTGTTTTGTGGAATGTTAGAGAAGTAACATTCAGCCTAATGAGATATCTAGAAAGACTACCCCTCCCATCTCATTTCCCTTAGTCACATACAAAGGGGGACCCCCCAAAAAAGCCCCGGAATTATCATCTGGAGGGCAGCCCCTTGTAGTAGACTTCCCCCACTAGCTGAGTGTTCTAGGAACCCGTCTGTATCAGTGCACCCGCTGGTTTGTGAGAGGCTGTGTTCAGCTTCAGTGAATTTTTTTTGAAGACTCTTTCAACGCATTTGCCCATTTCATGATGGGAGATTTACAAGTGCACCTGCCCACATCGCGCTGAGTGTTCAGCAGTTTTTGACCAAAAATGGCCTGAACCCTGTGCCCTACCCTCTCTATGCACCCGATCTCTCCCCAGTGACTTTTTTTTTTTTTGTTTCCCTAAATGTAAAAAGTCCTCACGGGGAAACGTTTTGTCACTGTGAAACAAAAACTGCAGAAGCACTAAAAAGGCATCAAAATCAATGAGTTCAAAAACTGTTTTGAGTGGTCAAAAAAAGTCTCGATAGGTGTATTGCATCAGATGGAGAGGACTTTGAAGGTGACTGAAGTTCAAACATGTAAGAGTAAATACACGGTTTTTTGTAAATTAACTCTGTTTTTTGGCCCCACCTATGTTTTGATTTATGTCATTGTTTGAGATCTTAGTTTATACTCTGGAATTTATAATTTTGTAAAATTTTTGTAAAATAAGTGTAATATTATGATTGTAAAAGTTTGCTGATTATAGAATTATCTAAAACAATGGAAAGAAGTGTTTTTTCCTGTCAGCTGGAGATTATGGTATACATTTTAATATAAATAACTCCTGTAGATGACATTTTAAATTATAGCTTTTATTATCATGTGAATCTGATGTTGTTGTATGTGTGGAGAGAGATATTTCTCTACTTTAACTATGTTGTGATTATTTTGGGAAAACAACAGGTATTTCCTACTTGGCTGGCTCCAAACCTGATAACCTTTTCTGGCTTTCTGCTGGTTGTGTTCAACTTCCTGCTTATGGCGTACTTCGACCCTGACTTTTATGCTTCAGGTAAGGTTATTACTTTTTTTTCTTTAAAAAAATTTTTTTTCTAAATGTTTAACATTTTTATTGTTGTTTATGTATAGTTTTCTGCCTTTTCCCCCCACCCCTCCCCGATTATTACTTTTAATGTAAAATTTAAATCGTCTAAATAGAGAAAAATGATATGGTTATTTTCTGGTTTTATTGGGATGCTTATTTCTGAAGAGTTTTGGGTATAATGACAGTATAAAAGCTAAGACATGGTTTCACAATCTGTATATATGTTTCAATTAAGTTCTAGAAACTAACTGGGTATTTAATTTAGATGTGGTGTCCAAAAGCATAAGGTTTTGGTGAATAAAGAATAACTGGATTTATAAGATGGAGGATCAGGACTGTAAAACTGCCTGAAAATGGATGGGTACAAATAGAGCCCACCGTACCTACTAAATCCTGAAATACTCCTTCCTTTTTTCTAGTTATGGGTGCAAAATCCCATTTTCTAAAGGGAATGTAATGTCTCTTTCCCTCTGCTCACTATTCTTACTTCTAGTGATTCCCAGTTCTAGATTCTTAGATGTTGAAGTATTTATTGACAGAAGTCTGGATCCTCAGTGAGGAAGACTGGAAAAAATCACCACTTTCAGCCGGTCCCCACCTGGGACTCCAGTGTCTTCTTTCACACCAATTTCTGTCGATAGTACCTGCCCCAGGCGACAGGAGGGAGTATGGAGTGTGTTTAGGATGGGGGCGGATAGTGGGAGACAGGGTTTATTTTTACCTTTTCATCTAGTTGATGGGGTTTGGAGAACTAGAAAGATGGAGGTAGGTGAGTATTTTTTGCATTCTAGTTAGAGAGTATATTTTCTAATAAGAATACTTATAAGTGATGTAGTCAGGAGTTTTAGTGTTATAATTCATCCGTGTTCTGGTTTCAATCACTGGAATCCTACATTATTTTTGTAGGAAAAATTGGAGTTTTAAACACTTAGGAGTTTTTCTATTATAGAATTCTAACTATACATACCTAATTTTATCAACTGAAACTTTTACTCACAGCTTCTGTACATTGCGAATAATAGGGAAGTAATAAAGTACCATGTGACGATCATAAAGTACCATGTGAATAATAGGGAAGAATAAATTTCATCAAGCATGGTTTTGATAATGTGTTCTTAAAATTTTGTATTTTAATCCTCAGGACAGCCTCAAAAGTGTACTTCCTAACTAGAAATATTGTTTTCTCTAATTAAGAATATTTACTTAGTTATTAAGAGACTAAAAATATGTAAATATTATATAAATATATTTTCTCAAATCATAGAACTTGAAGGGCCAACTCAACCATCTAGTCCCAGTGTATTTGGGAAATGGAAGGCAGGAGACGTTCAGTGACATTCAGGTCACAGTGCTCGTTGGTTTTAGAGCCAGGAGTGGAACCCAGACTAGGACTTCTGGTCCTTTTTTTTTTTTTTAATTGCTCTTTTAAAGAGAGAGGAAGGGCTGTTGCAGGGTGGGGGAGGGAAGAGAGAAACAATTGGTTTTTGTTGTTCTGCTTATTTATGCATTTATTGGTTGATTCTTGTATGTGCCCTGACCGGGGATGGAACCCGCAACCTTAGCGTGTGGGACGGTGCTCCAACCAACTGAGCTACTCGTCCAGAGACAGACCTCCTGGTTCTTAGTTGTTCTGTCTTGAGGAAAAGTGAGGTCCAAACATTTCATTGTGATTCTGATGCCAGAATCACACTGGTGAGGTAATTTGTCTGTACCCAGATCTGAAGGTCTTTAATTTAGCTAATTAATGCAGTAAGAGAGTGTAGGTTGAAGCCTTAGTGCATGTTTGTAGTATAACTATAAATAGTGAGAATCAGATTAAATGCAAGCATTTTCTTAAACTCCAAAAGCATTATTTTTCATTCTACATAAGTAATTTTTAAGTAAAGATGAGTTAATCAGTCCTGAATTATGATTAAAGCTCAAAATAAATGTCTATTGTTTGTGAGGGGTTGGACAGTTACCTTTTTTTTTTTTCAGAGTTTACTGATATATTTTAACATTTATCTGGTTCTGCATTTAAAATGTATTGCAAAGTGACCTGCCTGGTGTGGCTCAGTTGGTCGGAGCATCGTCCCATAACTGAAAGGTTGTGGGTTTGATTTCTGGTCGGGGCACATTCCTAGGCTGTGTGGGTTCACTCCCCTGTCTGGGCATGTACAGGAGGCAGCTGATAGGTGCTTCTCTCTCTCATCCATGTTTCTCTCTCTCCCTTCCACTTGTTCTAGAAAGCAATGAAAAAGTGTCCTCAGGTGAGGGTAAGAAAGTAATCATAATAAAATGTAAAGTACTGTAACTTCTGTTTAGTAAATAGGAACTTTTCCCCACTGGCAGTATATACTCCAGTAAGACTGACTGTACTGAGACTGCATTAAACTCAGAGTTGTTTTCCTTTGTAGCACCAGGTCACAAGCATGTACCCGATTGGGTTTGGATTGTTGTGGGCATCCTCAACTTCGTAGCCTACACTTTAGGTAAGAAACTGGCAAATACTCTAGTCAATGGCTGGTGAATCGAATCTGTCAGCAAGGATAGCTGTCCACTGAATTAAGTATTTTCTCCTATGCTTCATTCGTTTTAACTAGGGATTATTAAATTCCATTCAATTTGATAAATATATTTTCAAACTTCTCTATGAAAAATATTGTCACTCATTGGTAAGGACTTAAAGGGTAAGATTGGAGTTGGCAAACTAGCACTCGTGGGTCAAACTGGCACGTTGTCTATTGTAAGTAAACTTTGGTTGGAACACAGCAGTGCTCCTTCCTTTACATATTGCCTGTGGCTGCTTCCATGAAAGGAAGATGGGGTTGAGTAGTTGCCAGCAGAGATCATATGGCCCAGAATGTCTAAGCTATTTATTTCCTTTCTGCCTCTTTTGTAAGTATTTTACAAAAAATATTTGCCAGCTTATGGAATAAGACATAATTTTTGCCCTAAGTTTGGGAAGCAGTGCTGACATACCAAATAATTGCAGAACACTGAGATACTGTACAGAGCATGGTGGAGAACAAATAAGGAAGAGATCAGTTCTTATTTGGTGGAGGGAGTGGTTAGGGAAGTCAACTGTACTAGGCCATGCTGTCTGTTCTGCCAGGAGTGTTTTCAACTGAAATATCTGAATGACCTGTCCTGCATTCTCTTTGCATCCTTTCCTTCTTTATTTTTCTCATAGCACTTAAAACCATATGACCTAGTATTCATTTACTTGCTACCTATTTGTTGTCTGTCTGCTTTCAAATGTAAGTTTCTTGAGGGTGGTACTTTGTTTTAGTCACTGCTCTGTACCCAGTGTTTAGAACATAGGCACTCAGGATATAGTTTTTAAATGCATGTGAACTAGCAGGCTCTGAGTTCAAGTTGCTTAGATCTCTTCAGATAAAAATGACTTACACTCATAAAAACCAGTATGATCTGCTGCACGATTAAATGCTGACATGGTGGACGGCCAGCACTGCAATGAAGTCTATAAGAATTAGAGAAAAAGCTTAGTTACATACTTAGGTAGAGACTTTTGTGCATTTGTTATTAAAGATGAGAAGGTTTTAAAACTATTTGGTTGCCAAGGAGCAGGAGGAGTAGGGGAAAGGTTAGGGTAGCCTGTGGGCTCTGCCTTTTAACATTTAGCGTTTCCGAAGAGCCTTGTGATACACTGTGTCATCTGCCTGTTTCAGGTCCACAGTTCTGGCAAAAATCCAGACCTAACAAGAACAGTTTGTTGCAGAACCATCTTGAATTCACCTGAGGTGGTTTACAGCCTTTATACTCGTGTGACTGTGCTTACATTTTGCTGCAGAAATTATTCACGTGTTTAATCATAAGGTGCTGCTCTAGGTCTCACTGCGGTTTTTAATAGTATATGGCATATTCCCTGAATGACCTTTCTTTAAAAAAAATAACACACCACCGCTCCGACCCATATCTAGACCTCAGACTTGTGGGTTCGGTGAGAAGATGCACAAGACCTAATTAATATGTAATTCATGAATTCAATATTTATTATAACTGCATGGAAGTTGCACTGAAAATAGGAAATTAAGCCAGCAAATAATGAGAATAGACTTAGGAAATATTTTAGCTACTTAAGGGCAGAAAGACCTTATATAAGAGGGATCTGTAGCCTTTGGGCAGGAGTTTGGCCTTCATCCTTTATATATTCCTTGACCAATTTTTTAAAAAAATGTTTTATTTATTTATTTTTAGAGAGAGGGGGAAGGAGGGAGAAAGAAAGGGAGAGAAACATCAATCAGTGTGTGGTTGCCTCTCGTATGCCCCCTACTGGGGGCCTGGCCTGCTACCCAGGCATGTGCCCTGGCTGGGAATCAAACTGGTGACCCCTTGGTTGTCAGGCTGGTGCTCAGTCCACTGAGCCACACCAGCCAGGGCCCTTGACCATATTTTTGAAAGTCCTCTCTGTCACAAACTGAGCTAGGCACGAGGGTAATACTATACTGTGACGAGAAACAGTAATTGCAAGGAACTTCTAATTTCTTTAAAGCTGCCTAATTCTAATGCACTTACTTAACAAAACTGTTTCTTTTGGGGAGAAATTTTTATAATTTAGACTTTCCTTTTCAATTAAATTTTACCATTCTCTCTCTCTTTTCCTCCCCATCTCCCGCTTCATCTTCCTCTGCCCCTCCTACCTACCCCTTCTACTTCCGCCTTCATTTCCTTCCCTCAGGTTCCTCTGTTTCTGCCTGTAAATGAAGGTGTTCTGCTATACTTTATCCTTAACTTTTTTTTCCCTCCTAATTCCTTTGGTAGTCCTGATTCTTAATACTGTTGAGATGACTCCTTTGTTTAGAGCTAGCTATTATTTATCTTCTTAGTTACCAGTGGGTACCCTGGGGTTGAATTGCTTGACATTTACCATTTGGATATCCTGCTAACACTTCAGTTTCAGCCTCTAAAACAGTGCTCAGCATCTTTTCTGTCATTCTTGCTCCTCCTGCTGACTTCCTCATTTCTATCAACACTGCCACTGTGGTGCTACTCAGACTGGAAACTTTGGAGATGGTCTTCTTGTACTTGGGCCTCACCTTTCATCTTGTGTTTTTACTTACTTACTATCTCACCCAGTCCAGCTTTTCATTCATCCCGAGTTCCATCTCAATGTTGGCTTGCTAATTAGTGTTTTTCTTCCAGCTTGTCATTCACACTGACGTCAGGGGAATCTTCCCAAACCACTTCATCGATTTCCATCTTGTCGCTCCCCTACTTACGTACTTTCACTAGCTCCTTATACTCCCTAAAAGTTTTATACTGACTCAAACCTTCCTTCTCTAGCCTCTTTTATACTGCCCTCTGCACATGCTAGTTTCTCGTCAAACTAAACTACTTGGCTTTGAACAGGCACGTGCTTTTCCATCTCAGTGTTTTTGCTGATAGCACTCCCTCCTCTTGAAATGACATACTCCTTTATCTCTCCTCCACTGAAATCCAACTCAAGCTGTATGTCCCCACTCCGATTTCATCTTGTCTTCAAAGCCATTCTAGATTATCCTAGGCTGAAGAGAACCTGTCCCTTTTCTGTACTCCTCTGTGGCTTGTGATGTGCTGTCTTTAATTACCGTGTTTTTTCTCTCTTATCAGTTGTAAACACTCTGAGGGCACAAAATTAGTTTATTCTAACATTCTTGTAATCTTTACAAAATTGAGAAAAGTGCATTGCATGGATTCAACAAATTCTTACATTTACTGAAACTTATTTACTATGTATAAAACTTTTTCCGGAAGCACTTAAAATTGTGGAGGTGGTAGAGCTGCAATATCAAACAAGATGGGATAGGTGTTACAGCTGAAGTTCAGAGTGGTTTTGGATCTTAAAGCAAGAAGTGCTTAGATAAAATGTAATGAATAACTAGTGAATGTTCTCTGGAGGCTTGAGACTGTGTGGCTTGTAGAATGATTCAGTTGTTAGGCCAATTTGGAGAAATTCAGAGTCCAACTCAAAGGCTGCTTCCTTAGATCTAAAATTGACACCATTCAGTGTAAAGTAACATTTTAATTTTTTTTAGATTAAATTTAGAGAAATTACTGATTTTATTTCTGAAATATTAGGAATTAAAGGTTAGATTTTTATTGTACTGGCTGATAGATATACTTTAATTAACATTCCTGTGATATGCTGATTTGTTTTGGTTTGTTTTTTCCAGTTTATTGAAGAAGCCTTTTGCATACTGGTGCAGATTTGACCTTTGGTACTGTATTTTTCTTGCAGATGGTGTGGATGGAAAGCAAGCCCGCAGAACCAATTCCAGCACCCCCTTAGGGGAGCTTTTTGACCATGGCCTGGATAGTTGGTCATGTGTTTACTTTGTTGTGACTGTGTATTCCATCTTTGGACGAGGATCATCTGGTGTCAGTGTTTTTGTTCTTTATCTGCTGCTATGGGTTGTTTTGTTCTCTTTTATCCTGTCCCACTGGGAAAAGTATAACACAGGGGTTCTCTTCCTGCCGTGGGGATATGACATTAGCCAGGTGGTAAGTATGTGTTGTAACTTAAATTGTCAACATTGCATGAATTTGGGGGAAGGTTTTTTGTCATTTTTTTTCTCTATTGCCCTTACGTTTTTTTATTAGAACTGATGTGTGCTTTAAGAAAAATAATCTTATATTGAAATATTATTTTTACTTACTTATGGACAATTTTAAACATGCACAAAAGTAGAGAGGATAGTATAGTGAACCCTTGTGTACCTGATACTTAGCTTCAGCAGTTACCAGTGCATGGCCAGTCTAGTTTCATGTGTACCCTTTCTCCCCTCTCCCTCCCTGCCCAGTTATTTTAAAGGAAATTCCTAAAATTATGTCATAAATATTTTACTCTATATCTGTTAATGATAAGAGCTCTTTTTAAAAGGCATAAACACAATGCCATTATTACACCCCAAAATGAATGGTTTCTTAATGTTAATAGACTTTCATTTTAACTGTTGATTTTGTAAAAGAAAGATATGCACATAATTGTTGGCTTTTTGTCCTTGTCCCCAACTTTTCAGTGAGTGGTGAGATTGTTTTCTCTTACTTAATAGGCTTGCTGTTAACTCTCCCTGCCTTTGGAAACCGCTTTTTGTGTTGCCATTTTGCCCATTTGCACCTAAGGCTCCAGTAACCAATCGGAAGTTGGAATGTTTTTGATGAGGAAAGCGATTGGGTGGGCAAATTGGGTCATCTTGTGTCTGACTCACCCCACTTAGGAGGTGAGGTGCCTTAAAGTGTTTCAAATGATGGCCAGTTGCTTTCATTGTCTAGAAGTTAGTTATTTTATGGCATTGTTGGCTGAAAAAAAATTTTTTTTAAAGGCAAGAAGACTTGCCACAATATCAAATTTAAGCATACTTCTTGCTTTTACTAAAACTGTATGACTAGACTTAATGCTGCATAAAGCATTATCGACTCCCTGGTCTCTCCAGCTGTTAACGCCTTTGTCTGCTTTTGTCTGCATTTTCCTTCCAGACTGTTTCTTTTGTCTACATAGTGACTGCGATTGTGGGAGTTGAGGCCTGGTATGAACCTTTCCTGTTTAATTTCTTATATAGAGACCTATTCACTACAATGATTATTGGTAAGAAGCTCCATGTTGAAGCCTATTTTAACATCACTTTGTTATCAAAGCCAGTGTTTGATTATAACAAGCAGTGGTACCCTTCTCCCTTGCCAACACCCTACAGCAAGCAGGACAGCCCTACAGTCCTGTAGGATTTCAACCGAATCATGAAGGAAACTAAGGTTTCTTTGTGTTTTGCTGTTGTTCAGCATTAAGCTATTTTCAGTGGGAAGAAAATATCAAAATAGGTCATACAAACCTTGTAAATTATTCAGAGTAATCTAGATTGTATTGAAGGATCCACCTGTAGATCACGTTGGTACAGATTTTCTACTTGTGTGAAAGTCAAAGAGTATTTGTAGAAAACAGAATGAAGATTACTTTGTAATACACCCACTGAAAAATTGAGCCTCTAGGTGTCTCCTTCTTATGCCACTGAACCTAGGGAAAGGTTTTCATCATGGCGATGTTTCCCTTTTAATTGAGCCGAAGGGGGTGTCCATGGGATGATTGAGTTGGGGGGAGGGTTTTCCGTGGAAAGAGGCAAAGAGGAGGAGGACTCTGGATTATCTGGCAGCATCAGGAGTGGCACTAAAGAGCTGTGTAGAAGTGAAAAAGCAGACTTGTTGCCATTGCTCTACTCCCTTAGCTAAGAAATAAGCCCGGCTGTTTCTGTTGAAATGGGAATTAGGTAAGGCTTAGAAGCTGCTGAGAAAGTGGTGCCTTAGGCACTGGCTGTCGTGTGGCTCTGGGTCACAGAGATTTTAGGAACTGCTGCTGTAATGTACCAAATGTTCACTTTCTGGTGCCTATGTAAACTGTGGTTTTTACCTTGAAAAGGCTGGCTGTTTCCCATTTCCCACCACGTAGTGAATCTTTGGATTTTAGGCAGCCTGTCCTATAGCAGGTTTCCTGCATTCTACATTTAAATGTTAAATTTTAAAGATAAGGTGGAATTCTGCGATACAGGAGATGTATTTGTGAATGTTAAGTGGGTACTTTATTGGGCACGTGAATGTTCTTTGTCATTTATAAGTTTATCTGAATTCCCCCCTCAAAAATAAAACAAAAGCCCACATATTTCTCTACGAATAAGTAAACTAGCTTTTCCAGCACTAGATTTGAGTAGACACAAATAGACAGAAGGGCCTTAGGGCCCAAGCTGCTTAGTTTCTGCTGATAAAATTGGTAGTGCTGGCACTGGGGTGGCTGGGCTGGGCTAGCGTGTCCAGTGAGGCAAGGGGTGCTAAAAGGTTGGTAGGGGTGGGGTGGCCCCTGTTTGCCATTAGGAGCAGTACCTTCTTTGGGTGCAACAGGCAGGCCACCAAGATGAAGATCAGATGCCCACTCTCGTTTTTCCCCCTCTTTTGATTATGAGAATATTTAAACACCTATATTCTGTTGCTACTTTTATATAATAAATCTCTATGTGCCATCACCCACCTCTAACAGTTTTCAATACTAGCGCCAATCTTATTTCAAATGCACTGCTCCCCCATAACCCTCAGGTTAGTTTATGATATGCAGTCTTTCCTGTGTACCCACATAATTGCTATTTCTGCCGCACTTCATTCCTTTTTGTATATCTGACTTAAAATACGGTGTTCTCTCTCAGAGGTCTGAAGTACTTTCTTTAACATTTCTTACAGAGCAGGTCTGATAGCATTGTATTCTCTGTTTTTGTTTATGTGAAAGTGTTTTGATTTGGTCTTAGTTTTTCTTTCGCCACTTTGAATATGTCGTTCTAATGTCTTGCGGCATCCCCATTTTCTGAGCCGGCTTGTACATCATTGTCACCTGTATGTGATACAGTGCTTTTCTCATTGCTTTCAAGATTTTCTATCTTCGGCTTTTAAAAGTTTGGCTATGATGTACATAGGTGTGGTTTTCTTTGTGTTGTTCTTCTTGGTGTTTGTTGAGCTTGTTGGATCTGTAAGTTAATATTTTTGACTAAGTGTAGGAAGTTTTTAACCACAGTTGATTTCTTCAGATTTTTATTGTGTCTTTCTTTTCTCCTCTGGGACTCCATTTACATGTATATTAGACTGCTTCTCTTGATGATATCCTGCAGGTAATTTTATGGGGCTTTATTAATGTTTTTTTAGTCTTCTCTCTCTCTTTTTTTTTTTTACTATGTGATTTCTATTCATCTATCTTTTAGTTCACCCCTTTTTTGCTTTTACTATCTCCTATTGCCTCTTAAGGCTATCTGGTGAATCTTGCATGGAATTTATCATTTAAGTTATCATACTATTCAGTTCTAGATTTTCCATTTGGTTCTTTTAAATTACTTATTTATTTATTTATTTATTTGTTTATTATTTTAATCCTTACTCAAGGACATTTTTTTTCATTGCTTTTAGAGACAGAGGAAGGAAGCAACGGAAACATCAGTGCTAGGGAGAAGTGTTGATTGGTGTCTCTCATACATGCTATGTCTGGGTGTTGGCACCCGGACCAGGGATCAAACTCACAACCTCGGCATGTGCCCTGACCAGGAATTGAACCTGAAACTTGGTTATAGGATGACGCTCCAACCAGCTGAGCCACACTGATCAGGGCTCCATTTGGCTCTTTTTATACTCCATGTCTCTGTTGAAATTTCCTATCTGTTCTTTCATTATCACTATATTTTCCTTTAGTTCTGTGAACGTATTTAATGTAGCTACTTTAAAGTATGTTTGCCAAATTCAGCATCTGGGTCCACTTCAGAATAAGTTTTTATTGACTACTTAAAAAATTTCTTTGCATTTTGCTAATTACATTTTCATTGTGTCATTTAACATGTTTCTCTCCCTCTTTTTTTCCCTATAAACTAACAGATCCACAGACTTGGTTAGATAAACGTTTAATTTTGTTGCTGTTTTGGCAACAATCCTTATTAGGTAATAATACTTTTAGGAGGACACAATATCTAGTTGTTTCTCTTTATTTTGATGTGAATAGTAATCAGAGAGAGGGTTGAGGTATTTATGTCTATTCCCATCTATTACAAAGTTCTGCATCAGCTGAATACTACTACAGTAGTATTAACAGACATTGATGATTGTTGCTTAGGAATCCATTAATTCAGTGGATAGGCAGGGCAATAGGTTTGTTTTTAATAAAATATCTTATAAATTCATACTGATAATTGCAAATCAGATTTGACAGTACAGATTTTTAACTTCATTGATTTTATCTTGGTATCCTTTAAACGGTGACAAAAGTCTTTGTTTTCAGTGACACAAAATATTTACAAAATACCCACAACAGTCTCAGAATACAGTACCAAAATCAGCAACAATATAATTACTGAAAATTATTCAAGATTTTGGTTGTTTTTTTTTTTAAGGCTTTATTTATTTATTTTTAGAGAGGGGAAGGGAGGGAGAAGGAGGAGAGAAATATCAATGTGTGGTTGCCTCTCATATGTCTCCTCCTGAGGACCTGGCCTGCAACCCAGGCTTGTACCAGGACTGGGAATCGAACCAGCGACCCTTTGGTTCACAGGCTGGCACTCAGTCCACTGAGCCACACCCCAGCCAGGGCTAAGATTTTGGTTTTTTGAGGTTCCATTTATCCTTATGGTTTATTCTACTAGAGACACCCAGTGAGGTTACTATACTTTAAAGTTACCACTCTGTGGCTCTGCCACCAACTGGATATATATGTTTTGGTTCGTTTCATTTTACTTTTGAATTTTAGGGATTAGTTTTGCTTTTAAAATTTACTTTTTCTTTGTATTTATATAAAACATTCACGTGATTACGAAGTCAAATCTATACATGAAAATTTAGCTGCAGTCAGTGCTGTAACCCTCTCCGCCCTCCGAGTGAGCCAGTCTTGGTGTGTGTGGGGGGGGGGGGGCGTGCCAGCCAGACGAGCCACCAGCCAGGGCTTCGTTAACCACTCTTAGTTTTGAGTTTTTGGTTTATCTTTACATCGTTTCTTAATATAAATGAATGTGTGCGCGCGCGCGCATGTGGCTTTATCACCCCTTTTTATAGGTAAATGGTAGCATACTGTACACTTTTTACTGCACTTGCAGCTGCCTGGTGCCTCACTGTGGGGCTGTATTATAGCTCATTCAACCAGCCTTCTACTGGCCGGCGTTTGAGTTATTTCCAGTCTTTGGCTGTTACCCAAATTACTGCAGTGAATAGTCTTGCACATGTGTATGTCTTTTTATATTTTTATTAGGGTATTTTAGGAGAGATCCCTAGAAGTAGAATTGCTAGTAAAGGACAGATTTCTTATAAATTCTCACCAACTGTGTATGAAAGTGCTTATTTATTTACAGTTTTATCAGCATAGTATATTGTCAAACTTTTGGATTTTTGCTAATCTGATAGGTAAGAACTGGTATATCTATAGTTTTAATTTGTATTTCTCTTATTTTGCGGATGAACTTTGCTTGTGTAAGAGCCATTGGTATCCTTTTTTCCTGTATACTTTTTATATATCTAGTCAATTTTTGCTATAGGATTATTAAACATTTTCTTTATTTTTAGAAGCTCTTCATATATTAGGTATTTAGATCTTTTCTCTTGATGTATATTATTCTTCCCCCTTGTTTGTTTTGTCTTTTTCACTTTCCTTAAGGTACTTTTGTCTTGGTGCTAATTGAAGTTCCCGTTTACTAATAAGCCTGGAAATATGAAAAACCAAAATATGTTATGTGACCATGTTTTCCTTGCAGCAGATCTCATTTTATTCAGTTCTTTCTTAGGAATTCTACTCTAATTTTTCTGTAGCTATTAAGTTTGCTATATTATGAAGTCTGGGCCTTCCCATGCAGGTCTGTACATGTGCGGGTTCTGTCACTGTCAGGTAGAGTTTAATGGAGAAGTAGTTAATAATTAAGGGTTCATAGAATACACATTAAGTGCTTGTTAGAAAAGAACTATTAGATGCATTCTTTTTCTTCGGCAGCCTGTCTAGAGCCCAGGCTTTTCTACATGCTCACTGCACTTAAGATGCAGCTATTTGAAGATGTTGTACGCTACTGAATGTTCTTGGTAGCAAATATTTTGCCAGTTTCTCTCAGTCTGTTTCCAGCACCTCAGAGCCACAAGCAACTCTGTGTTAATTCACTTAGCCTTGACTCCCTTTCATGGATTAAACTGTAGAAATTTCTGAGGACTTTGAGGACCAGCGTGTCTTCTCCTTTGTTTCTTTCTAAAATCTTCTAACTTGGGGAACTTTGTTCCAGTTGGACTTAGAAATAGGAATAAGACTTTTCTGTTGTGGATTCCAGTCATTTCATCTGTTTTTGCAGCATGTCTTAGGAATTGTTTCGAAGGGACGCTTTTCTGTCTTTGAGCTGTACAACCATAGCTGCATGGACACCCCTCCCCACCCGAGCCCTGCATAGTTACTGGGAGTCTGGAATGGACAATCTGGGGCTGTTGAGTGACATCAAGATGTCCAGCGGGTGTCTGGGAAGTGCCACATGCACTGATTTGGAGTTTAAAATAAAGAATGTGAATTTATACCTCAACAGATTATAGAATCATAATTTTAAAGATGCAAGGAATACTAGAAAATCATTTAACCTATAGTCATACAGCTGAGGAGTCTGAAGCTCAGACAATTAAGTATTGTCTGATTTGGCCAAGAGTACCTAACGAGGTTGCAGGAGCCAGCAGAACAGCCAGTTACGAATGTGCAGGAGGCAGAGTTCCCACCAAGAGACCAGATGTAATGATTCGATGGTTAGCAGGGACATTGGCAGAATGGAATCACAAAGGCAAAGGGAGGAAAGAATTGCAAAGTGGATAGTTAATGGAGTCATCTTATCAAGAAGTCAAGAAAGAAGAAAGAATATTGAATTTCATCATTAGGAGAGCTTGGTAAATTTTAAGAATGAAATTGCTGCAGATTGGGAGGCAGAATGAGCTTTTGAGTGCTGAGGAATTAAGGCGACAAAGATTAAATTTTGGTGAGTGATGGGAGATAGTAGATGGGGCACAAGCAATGAAGGTAGGGTTTCTTGGGAAGGCCATTCTTGTTTTTAGGTTTGAGAGGAAAGAATTGGTGTGTGTGGGGTGGGGAGGGGCGGGGAAGAAGTTGAGGATGCCAGGGAGGTAAAAATAGATGGGAAGGAGCAGGATCCCCTAGCCACCCCTCTTCCAGGAGCTCACCTTTATTGAACTATATATATATAGTTCAATGAACAGTACCTACTATATATACTATATATATATAGTAGGTACTGTTCAAGGTGCCTTTCCATGGAATAATTCATTTAATTCTCAAAACTCTGTGGGGTCAGTGCTGCTTTTATCTGTATTTTATAAAGGAGGGAACTGAGGCAGATTAACTGACCTGGAGTCATGTGACACAGTTGGTGGCACAGCTGAGCCTGAGGTCCGGTGCAGCTCCTGGAAGTCTGCTCTGAATCTGCCAGCTGTACCGCCTGCCACTCTTCCCGTTGTGACTGTTGTTCGGAAAGGTGTTTGATTTTATTACAGAAGTTAAACTAGAACCTGAAAATCATTATGTCTAAAATTAGTACATATTTTGTGTATATTTGATTATTATAAAAGTCACTCGAATAATAATCATGATGATTTAAACATTTTTCCTTTTAGGTTGTGCATTATTTGTGACTCTTCCAATGAGTTTATTCAACTTCTACAAGTAAGTATTTTATTTCTTTAATTTAATTTTCATTGTTTACCATTTAGTTCCCTTACACCCACCTCCAGCCCAGCAGTCACCACACTGTTGTGTATTTTAATTTTTAATTGGGTTGGAAATAAGGAAATCTTTAGAAATTGTAATTTAGATGCGTTTTAGGGTCTTTTTTTCTTTGGAATCTCGGCGGACACATTGAAAAGGTCCTGAACCCGAATTTTGAGTGTAGAGTGAGGTTAGGGTCATGGAGGGTGTCTGGTGGCTCCTGCGGGCACTTCGGCACAGCAGCTGCTTGTTCTTCTTCTCGTGTTACCGTTTTGGGCTCACCCAGCAGGCTTCCAGTTTGTCGTTTTTTTTGCGAGTGAATCTGACCACAGGAAGTATGTTCCTGTTGAGTATCGGTACATTTGCATTGTTTTATAAATTGATTATCTCTAAGTGTATTTAGTATGATCATTTAAAAAAAGCTGAATTTATGTAGTTTAGGACCAATTCCTAGACCTATGCTAACTCTTCCCAAACCGCGCTGTATTGTAATTCCTGCCTGTGGGGGAGGGTGGGGCTTGGGAAGCAAAGTTGCCTGGGTAGAATTTCATTTTTCTGATCTATGTATTTCCCCACCTTTGTGCAGCCACACTGAATTTTTTTTTGTGACCTAAATATATTCTGCTTTTTCTTTCCTTGGTGTTTAAAAAAAATTTTTTTTAATTTAAAGATTTTATTTATTTATTTTTAGAGAGAGGGGAAGGGAAGAAGGAGAGGGAAAGAAACATCAGTGTGTGGTTGCCTCTTGAGTGCCCCCTACTGGGAACCTGGCCCGCAATCCAGGCATGTGCCCCGACTGGGAATTGAGCCAGCGACCCTGTCTTTCGCATACTGGCACTCAATCTACTGAGCCACACCAGCCAGGGCTCTTCCCTCAGTTTTTGCTTCTACTGCTTCCTCTACTTGAAAAACTTTCCTGTACTTCCTGTTTAATCCTTCAGCTCTCAGATCTGTCTTGCAGAATCCACTCCATGTCAAGCCACACTCTGTGAATCTTCTTTGTTTATTACAACTAGCAAACATTCAGAGAAGTCCTAAAATTTAAAGCTTGAAGGCCCCAGAGACTATTTCAGTCATTTCGTGCTTATCTTAAGATGAGGTCCTGACTGGGCAATGCCTTGGCCAAGGGCATGCAACCAGTGGCGGAACCAGAACTAGAACCTGGGGCTCTGTTCAGATGGGCAGACGTGCTCGGAGACACTGGGGCGCTCTCCGCAGTCTCATTGCAGAGTCTTCCGTGGGAACTAGTTCTCACCCTAAGTTCTGTGTCACTTGTACTGTAGCAACATCGGGAGGTCCTCTTCTGGTATTGCTTTGTATTCATTTTCTTTTCCCTATTAGAATATAATCTTACAGAACAGCAGTTTTCAACCTTTTTCATCTCAGGGTACACGTAAACTAATTACTAAAATTCAGCAGCACACACACACATATATATATATTTAGTTTTGCTGGTCTGACAGAAAAATAGATATAATTTTGATTCATTCACATTGGATGTCTACTGTTGTGTTGGCTGGGTTTTTTTTTTAACTTTTTAATTGAATTTAAAACTTCAAATTAATATAAATTTAATCAATGCGACATTGGTTAAAACAATTATATAGGTGTTCGGTTATCATTTTTTCTTTAGACAATCTAAGGGAAAGAGGACAGTGCTCTTGACTAAGCCTGACTAAGTAGTCAGGTATTGCTTGTTTTTCAAATTCTTGCGGCACGCCAGCTGAAAACTGCATCATGGAACAAAGACCACGTTTTATTACACCCCAGGGGTAAAAATGGGCTGGGCCAGAGGACTTCAGTTGTGGTCCTGGCCCTGCCACTGGGTAGCAAGTTATGTAAATTTAAATTCTCACATCCTCACCTAAACAGATTCTTGCCTATGCCACAGGACTGTGGTGATTATAACATAAGAGAATACGTATGAAAGTACTTTGAGGGGAAAATTGGGATGACTGGAATAGAATAACAATTTTTGAAAAAGTACTTTGAAAACTATGAAATGCAGATATAAGTTTTATATGTAATCATGTTCTTTTGTATTACTCGGTCTTGTTTTTCAGAAGCTATAGAAATAACACCTTGAAACACAGTTCGGTCTACGAAGCGATGGTTCCCATCTTCTCTCCATGTTTGCTGTTCATCTTGTCTACGGCGTGGATCCTGCAGTCGCCTTCCGATGTTTTAGAGACACACCCCAGGCTGTTCTACTTCATGGTCGGGACAGCCTTTGCCAACAGCACAGTAAGACTGGTTTTGAAGCCCTGATATATACAGGGAACATAAGATGGAGTTCGATAGTGTGAGAAACCTTATACAGTAGTAGAAAAACCAAGTTTTAAATTAAAGATACTTTAATTCAGAATTTGAAAAAAGATAATAACCTCCAAGACAGAACATGCTGAAATCATTTTATTTTTCCCTTAGAAACCAGTAGGATTTAGCGACAGCAGTAGTATTTTAGAACCGTGGCATACTTGAGATTTTTTGTTTTGGTTGCCTGCTGAAGAATCCAAGGGATAATTTATAGATTCCTTTAAGACTGTAAATATTACCAGTGTAATTGAAATGGCTGCAGACACGATTAGTTCAGGGAGCGTGAAAGGGGTTTTTGCAAGAGAGAAAACACATCATGTACATTCATCCCACACATTTTTTTAATCAACTGAACTTTCAATTAAGAACATGGAATTATAAACTATGCAATAAATACAACATGTTTTTTAAAAGTAGGAGTTGAGAAAAGACCGTGATAGTTTTGACAGCCAGGAAGCCTGTGCTGAGACCAGATTCTTAATAAGTTTTTTATTTTCTTACTTAACCACTGAACTTCTGTTTCCATGTATAAAAAGTAATTACAAAAGCATGAAGCACGTTTGAGTGAGGTGTTGAGAATAAAGGGAGCCAAAGAGGCACTGAGGTGTTCATTGGTAATTCGGCTGAGTTGGAGGTAACATCTCATCTCCATGAAGAAATTTAGTTGTGTTGAGGTTTTGAAAAAAAATTTTTCTTTTAGGTAACAGAGAATCTTAAAATTTCTGTTACCCACACTGTTGCCCAGTGGAAGAATGCCTTCTGCAGCATCCTTGCTAAATTATCTAACAGACTCTTCCGGCACACTCATGGTTCCAGGGGCCACAGGTTTGGAGGTGGAGGCAGAGGTCCCGTTGGCCCCCGAGCAGTTGAGGTGACTGAACTTAACATAACAAATGTGTTGGAGTGACAAGTATTGAAAGTGGTTTGCTGATTAAATCCCCCGCCCTCTTATTTTTTTCTAATTTCAAGTGTCAGCTGATTGTTTGTCAAATGAGCAGCACGAGGTGCCCAACTTTGAGTTGGTTGCTGGCGCCCCTCCTCCTGGTTGTCATGGCGGTAAACCTAGGCGTGTCTGCGTACACGGAGAGCGTTCTTCTGTATGTCCTCACGGCTCTTTGCACTGTGGCCCACATCCACTATGGAGTACGAGTGGTGAGTAGACCAGAACTGGTTCCATTTGAGAAGAAGTTTGGTTTCATTTAGTTAGTTCTTATAAATAATGGAAAGAAGGTGAGGGAAATTTCAAAAGGAAGCTCGCTTATAGTAGCTGGAAGGATTTTAGTATATTCTCTAAATATTGGGTAACATTCAGGTGTGTAATTTTGAAGATTGTTTCTCTAATAAATATGTTTAGTAACTACAACTAATTTAAAAACTAGATAATTATAAGGAATTAGTTCTTGTTTTTAAGTAGGTAGAAATGTAAATCATTTTCTTGGTGAAGAGAATGGTAAACTCTTTTGTGCTTTTAATAATATAGGACTAGATGATCCCATTTTATTATTATTTCTACGTGTGCTTCTTTAGCTTTACGGGCATTTTTGTTGCTTGCTAACATAATTTGGAAAGAAACTGAAATCGGTTTGCTAGCACTGCCTTCCTCCCTCTCTCTGCCCAATTCTGTAAGTGGCATGGTAAGGGAGGTTAGGACTTCAGACTAAAGGGAAGCTTTTGCATTATTTGAGGTTTTACTTCATCCATTTCATTCCTGAGTTCTCATCGGGAGAAGTAATACATAAGGGGATATATAGAAGAGAAAGGGTTTAAGAAGTATTAGGCAGACCTTAATATTGTCTTCTGAAATAAGAGACTAGTTTCAGGACAAATGAACTAAGATAGATGTAATAAAGTGAAAATCATAACCGTGCAGTTCATTTTCTTTTTTATCACATGTGAACATCCTTTTCTAATTATCTCACATATTTTAGTCTGGTCTCATGGTTTTTGAATGGTATAGCATATTCTATCACGGCGATTACTTAATAATATCCCAGTTTACTTAATCATGATCCAGTTATTCTAATCCTTTAGGTTTGTTTCCAAATTTTCCTTGTTATAAATAGTGTTGGAGTGACAAATCTGGAAGAATATTTTTTCTTTCCTTTGCTTTATTTTCAGATAATAATTTCATAGCAGTGGGGTTATGGAGAAGGCTGTTTACATTTTTATGTCTCTTAAATACTTCTATTTGGTTTGCTTGTTTTAAAAGGAACCTTGCTGTGAATCAGTTTGAGAAACAGTTTTATATTGTCGTTCATATTTACAAACCAGGGGCACCTGTCATGCTAGGTAACAACTTCATACTTTGCACATGTCGCTAAACGTAGGCGTCCTTTTGTTTCTCCCCAAAGTGGTCCACATCTGGGGGACAAACTGCATGAAATTGTTATGGAAAAAAATGATGGTATAAGTCTATGAATTATGACAGGAAGACACGATTGTTTATGTTTTTATTTGCGCCAATGTAACATCATACACTTTAGAGTAACAGCCGTAGGCCTTTATCCTGATGTTTCATCCGCTGTGTGTATGGAGTGGAGCGCACTCGCCAGTGCCTTGAAAATCATACAGAAACCAAACCAAACCAAAGCACATTTTCCTTTACATTACCAAGGTACCACATTTCTTTGTTAAAAATCCGGAAAATAAACACAAGCTAACGGAAAGAGATTCTAGGAGCGTTTCTTTTCGTCTGCCTTTTTGCTGTCTTACTTCTGCAGCTTCTGACCGAAGGTAAAACTTGCTGAGTCACACGGAACCTTCACTCGCTCTTGCATACCCATTAGTGATACCCCGACCAACATGGCTCAGACCTCTGAAAAGGGACACATCTAGTTTTAAACTGTTTCGTTGGGTTCAGGAATGATCACCTAGAAGTGTTATAAAAAGCCGAATATTGAGTCTATGTGTGTAAATATTTGACCTACTAGATAGTCTAAGTCAGCTAACCCTGTAATTCGTCAGTAGATCTGACGTGAACCCGTGTGGGCTGGAGGGGTCTGGACGGACTAGGACAGCGGAGCCAGGCAGGCCCAGGTTTGGGCCCCAACTCCCAGGGCAGTGCCGGCCCGCTCACTGAGCGCCCAGCTCTTTACCTTTCCCAGCCCAGAAAAACCTTCATTATTTATGACGAGTTTTGCTGTGTCAGTACATTGTTGTCTCCGGAGGGTTAATTCTCTGTGCTTTTGAAAATTAATTAGATACGTATTTGTCACTGCCTCCTGTTCTGGTTTTCTGTAGGTAAAGCAGCTGAGCGACCATTTTCAGATTTACCCCTTCTCATTGAGGAAACCAAACTCAGACTGACTAGGAATGGAAGAAAAGAATATTGGCCTGTAACCTACAGAGAGAAGTACTGTAAATAAGATGCTTGTAAATATTTCACCCATCACCTTTGAACTACACTGATCTGCCTGACGGACATGGGAACTCTGTGTGTGGTACTTGTACAGCAGGAACGATGTGCATCGTCTGAAACGTGGAGTTTTGGGCCTACGAACTCCCGGCTTGTTTTATTTTTTTATAAAACCATGTGATGTTTCCGTTAAGCATATTGTACATTAGACCAGCAAAATATTTCTAGTGATTTTAGCTTCATGAATCCATAATGTTTTGGTTCATACAGAGTTAAAGATGCTCTATTTTTATTGTTTTCAAAGCCCCCAAATTGGTTTAGAGCACTGACAGATAACATTCAGAAAACCACAGTATGTTTTCATGTTGGATACTTAGTAGTTGTAGTCGGTTGCTCACTATGGAAGCCATCGTAGCCCACATCTAATGTAGGGAAAAGGTAAGAGCAGGTCACCTTCAGCAAGAGATGCCAAAAGATTCCAGAACAATATACAGGTTTGCCAAATACTGGTTCCTCTTTCCCATGGAAATGCCTTTGTCCTCATGTGCTAACAGATTCTCTAGTGTTCTGGCTGTCTTAGTTGTGGAACTGAACTTGGTAAATGGTTTGGTTTTCTTTTAAAGAAACATCCTATTGAGACTCAATAGAGAATGGATTGTAATTACAGCTCACCCATTGGCATGGTCCACTGTTTAAACGTGGCATTCCACCCCCACGCCCCCTCAGATGCACGTTGCTGAGATTTGGTGCCTGTAAACTATGATTAAATGAACGTCTGTGACTGCGTGAGTCTTACGGTAGTTACTCGTGAGGAACACAGATACGCTTTCTTCCTAGAGAACTTTACTTTGGAGTATGAATCTCACGAACCTCATTATGAAATTACTACCGTGAACCTCACTGCAAAATTAGTTTTCTGATTGAGTTCGTCCGTCCTTCCTTCCTTGCTCTCTCTCTCTCTCTGTCTATTTTTTGTGAAGGAGAGAGTGCTGTGGTTTTTAAATTTTTCATTCAGGATAAAGAACTAGAGAGAAATTCTTTCTTCTCCAACTTGCCCACCTCCCCACTTGAAGAAAATTTTTATATGAATGCCTTACTGAGTCCTCAGTCTCTTTACTATAACTTGGAGCAGTTTTTGAGGTTTACTGACAGACATTAAAATCCCTTTGATTTTAATGTGCTTGTTTTAAAGATCACACCTGTTCATGAATGTAGATATTTTCTTCTGTTGCTTTTTGACTTTGTCTCCGTTTACGTTGGTGGTGGTGAAACTTACTTTTAAAATTTTTTCACTGAATGGAGTTTGTGCTTGAATGAAGAGTGTGTCTTAAACCCTCGTTTTGGATGGATCGCACTTGGATGAAATAGGCACCGCTGTGTGGCTCTGTAATTAAATTCATAACCATTATTTATCTGTGAATGACCATTTCAAAATTTAATTCTAGTGTATTCCTTCATTGAATTTCTTTCTGCTGCTTTGTAAACATAACTATGTAATTGATATTTCAATTTTTAAATATGTAAATCTAATAATTGTCATCTAGGTTTGTAGGGATGAGTCAAGGAGCTAACTCACGGTTCTGTACTCATTTTAAAAAATGTTCGTAAAGGTTGAGGTCTATTCAGCGACCTTCTCTGAGACACAAACGATCACTGAAAACAGGTGCGAAACTGATGCCGGGGCACGTGGGCTGCGATTCCGCGCGTGTGGTGGAGGTGCCATCGCAGAGGCTGGAGAGCTGCTGGGCTCAGGGAAGGGGGCGCGGTCGTTTGTCGCCTTGTTCCTTGTCGTTCGTGAAACTGAACTGCACAAGGTGCTCATTTGATCTGGGAGCAGAGCTGTTCTTAGGGTTTGCAAGCTAATCATTTTACTGTTCTGTTGACCTTGTACAAAAGAATGAAATTAATCTGCATGATAGAAGAAAGGAACTGCTAAATATTTATGAAATGACTCATTTGGACCATGGGCTTCCTTCCCTTTAGTAGTATACCAAGAAAATACTTCTTCTAGCAAAAGGTCATGTCCTGCAATTTTGGGGCTTTTACCTTGGAAGTGTGTTTCCGCTCTCTTTCTGTTGCATCAGGTTTATTTGAAAATTGTTTTGTGGCTACACTTTACAACTTCCTTCCCCGTAGTGGTAAAGAATTATGTCATAGTTCTGTTGACACCCTCAGATGAAGGAAGGTGGCGGTCAACCAGATGGGCGTGGAACTGGGCGACTGACTGTTTCGCACCGTGGCCTTGTGCGTGGGTAGCGCGCCACTGACTTGGTCTTGGTCTAGTTTGCCGTCTCGAAGTGCATCTTGGAGGCGCCCCTTTGTTCTGTAGTGATGGGGTGCCTGAGGCAGGACTTGATTACAGATCGCTGTTCATTCATGTCATGCCAATTATCATAACATTTCCAAAGTATAAAAGCTACTTCAGGCTTATGCATGGTATTTTGGGGTGAGCTCACACCTCAGCCTTTCCCCCAGCATACACTGAGCTGCCTTTTGGGGGATGGCTGGTCACCCGTACACATTTTCTGTACCTTTCGGAATAGTGCCTTAGCCAGGCCGGAGGTTCCCGTCGTGTCTTTGCTGACCAAAGTTTCCTGGACCTGTAAGAGAAGCTTCTTTTCAGGTTAGGGTCTGAAAAATGTCCTTTCTTGCTTGTCAGAAAATAATTCCTCTATATTTGAGGGGGCATGGGATAGAAAAAAGCTGAATCTACCCGGATAGAGTATATTAATGCTGCCTTTTATGATCCTTTAATGGTATGATCTTAGTGTAGTGCTCATTGTAAAATCATTACTGTTTAAATTGCCATTCCTCCACTAATAAGGAATAAACACAGTTTATGGGTTTTGGTCTGAAGGGTAATAGAGTGAGTAACCTCCAAATAAACTAAATAGTGTTCCTTGATATTTAATAATATCATGGTTGACATACTTCTAATTCCAATTAAAACAAAAGTTAAATGTGATTATGGTCTAGAATATTATAGTACTACTAGCAACATGCCATTTATTTTCATGGAGAGCTGTTGGAAAGAGTTGCCCAAATTCTAAATTAAATGCCAAGAGAGTATTGATCGTGACCCGGGGCCTGGGCACCGGGCAGACACGCAGGGGAAGAAGCGTATAGCATCTGCTTCGGGAGGAGGATTGCCTCAGGCCTAATGCCCTCAGGGCCCCATGATTTAGACGTGATGCCCAGTTTGAAATGGTCACAACTGAGCTCATCATTCCTCTACTCATTTCAAATTCAAACTTTCTTAAGTGTTCAATTTTCAAAGAGTTAGTTTATTTTGTGGTCGGTCATAAAGCTTTTGGAATGTACCTTGCTTTCCAGAGGAGACCCCGATGCTGTAACCTGTGGAGAATAAAAAGGTAATCTGAAGGTGTTAGAGTCGAAGCCCACTGTCCCCTCATGTTTTCACCAGAAGTCTGTTTGTAACTCTTCCCAGTCCGACTTCACCTGGGTTTCATTTCCACCAGCCGCCGCCCCGGACAGAGATGCCGCTTGCCGTGTTGCTCCTCGGTTTCACCGCATGCGGAGCTCCTTGATTGGCTGCCTTAGATGTCTTGTCTAGTCAAGGACCGGGACTGTGCCAGAGGGAACAAAGCAAACCCGACAGGCTGGAACTTGTGACTTCGGGTCCCCAGATACACCAGAACACAGACACAGATATTTTTGGTTGTGTCGATTCCTGTGTTCAGGGTGGCCTTTATCCTGACTTCCACTCTGGACTTGACGGAGCTCCCTGTAAGAAATTTATGAAGTCACACTAGAATTCTCTTTGTTCTACGATGAGGTTGCTTAGTAAGACAGCATGCCCTTTCCTGAACACCTCGTGGCCGAATAACCTTGTGGCTGCCAGTGCTAGAACCTTCCAGGAGTTTTAACTAGTACTCTGCATTTGAAGCACTTTCACACGTACACTTAAAATGACAGTTTTAACAATAAAATGATGTTAAGTTAATCACTGTGAAACTTGAAAGTGTGATGCTCTGCATTTTAGGAAGCTTTAAGTAAATTCTGATCTTCCTTTATTAATTATGAAACCCACATGATTTATGTATTTTACTTTCCATCTCTGAAGTGGTATAAATGACTGACATATTACTGGCAGGCAGCTACTTTTAAGGCATATTGTAAATCATGGTTGTTTAACTTTTCCAGAGAAAGTGGTGACGTGTTTACTTCTTCCTTGTGTGGAGCCAGGGGGATTAGATTTACTGGCTAACTCATTTCCAGTGTTTCTGCAACACAAAATAAATGTAACCCTACTCTTTAACTTGCATGCTAGTGATATGCTTTGCTTTTTAGTAAACAAATATGCAAGAAATAGTAATGGCTGATTTTGTTGTATTTTTTTTGTTTGTTTTTAAGCAGGGACCTGCTCTTTTTGCAGACAGACCTTTAAAAAGCTCATATTTAGGACAGCAAGAGCAGGGGTGCCGTTTGTAGCCCTCTCACGGGTGGCCGGGTTCCTAGAACTAGAAAGTGGCACGTGGACTGATGTTAGAAGACACCAGGACGAACACGTCTCCTTAGGAAAGTCCATTCGGACACAGCAGGACGTTTGCTTGTCCACACACTGCTCTTCTTGCCTGCTTGTCACAGAGTCATTCTTAGAAAGCCAGGTTGAAGCAGCACGGTGCTGTTTAAGAGCGCGTGAATCGGACCGTGGCCCCAGCATAGCTAACGCTACGTTGCAATTAGACACAGGTCTGAGACGCAAGGAGCGAGCGGCTCACTGCTCTGGGTGCCTTGTGGCTCTTTGGCTGGAGTCTTCTCTAGGGCAGTTTGTATGGGTAACCATTAGAATAAATTTTTTAGTTAAAACATACTCAGTTCTCCATAAATTCTAGATTCTGGTCTTTAAAAAATACATATTTATTTATTTTTAGAGGGAAAGAGAGAGAAACGTAGGAGAAATACATCGACCGGTTGCCTTTCACAGGCCCCCAACTGGGGACCTTGCCCACAACCCAGGCACGTGCCCTGACCAGTAATTGAACCCAGCAACCTTTTGGTTCACAAGCTGGCGTTCAATCCACTGAGCCACACAAGCCAGGGTTATATTCTGGAATTCTTGACAAGTACTTTTTGTTATCTAAAAAAATAAGCTCTTGACCAGGAAATGTTTAGTTAGAACTTGATGTTATTAATCAGAAGCCTTTTTCAATTTTGCAGGATGTATGAATGCTGCATTATAAATCTGTTTAAAATACTGGTATCATTCAGTGTCAGACTTGGAGTTTAATAACTACTATTAAGACTTCACACACACACATACACACAGCTGACCACAATATTAATGTTTTTTGTAGGATATTTTGTTTAGACAGCTTACTCCATTAGAACAGCCATTCGGGAGACAAAGACCGAGCTGCAGGTGTTATTTACTTATTCTGAAATGTGCCAAGAAAGCAGAATTTAGTATTAAACTCCAAATTTCAACGGTAGCATTTCCTCTGGGTCAAGGGGAAGGGAGGAAATAATTGCTGAGGAAAGGAGGTGTAAATTCCCTGCGGCCCTCTTTCCCCTTCTCTTCCCATCCACTGTGATAGATTTGTAGCCAATTGTAGAGAAAGAATTGCATACTTTTCTGAGTAAGGTTACGTGCCCTGTGACTAGGTGGCAGGAATCATGGCTGAATCAATTACTGAGTGGTCCTGTTGCAGTTTGCTCTCTGTTGTATTCTGAAATAAAAGGACAATTCCATCCCTTCTCAGGTCCCTAGAAACAATACCACTCCAGCAGCTGGAATATATTTGCTATGAGTAGAATATATCAGAGAAGAAGATGAAGAGGAGCACAAAATCTTATTTTTCCCTTTCAAGTAGTTGAATTGAACCTGGTAGTAATCGGTCTGTCTAGGACTTGCTGTGTTCAGAGTGAATAATGTAGCATTTATTTTGTCTGGTCATGTGCGGCGTGTGTGTGTACACATTGAATATGTACACATCTACTGTCTGTGCATATACATGGATGATGTGTTCGTCTGTACCTGCAGTCTCCTCTTGATTATCAGCGAAGTGGCGCGCCCTCACTGCACGGTCCCCACGTGGACGTGACCTGCGCGTAGCCCATAACCCTGCGAAGCCTCTTCCTCATCCGGAGCCACAGCCTTTCTTACTTCAAGTTCATCTGAGCCCCCGGGAAAGGCCCTTGAAATAAGTCATGTTCCGTTTCCCTTTCACCAGGGATTCTGTGGGCCAGTAAGACAGCTTTTGAGAAAGATGGCTGCCTCCATCAGGGTTGGGGCTTCTGGGTCTGAAGATGCTGGGGGCCCATTCCCGGCCAGAAGGCAGCTCTGGGAAGAGGCTCTGCTCCTGGGTTGGATGGGGGAGAAGTCTGGCTCTTGCAGCAGTGGGGCATCACAACCTTGCTTAAATGCCGTGGCTGGAATTGGTGAAATCTTAGATAAGTCTTCGATGTACAAGTAGAATACAACCATGTATTTTACCAATACTCTTGCATTGTCGGTATTGCTGTTCCCCTTCGCTAGCCCAGATAATCAAGAGCCGACTGTTTTTCGCCACTGGATTCTGGAAGCCTTGTCCTCTCAACTGGATTTATGTTTATTTCTGCTGCTGTGAAACCCAAAAGTAATGCAGTAGGTTTTAATTTAAAATCATTTAATTCTATTATTGATAAATATTTATTGTAATAAAAGTAAAGAGTAAATAATTTTTAAATCCTTTCCGTTGTGTTCAGATTGTCTTCTTTGCTTCTCCTTCGTAGGCACAAAGTGGGAAGGAGCTGGGGAAGGGAACTAATGTCTGGTCGCTTGTCCCAGAATCACTGATTGTTTTACAGACAAAACTCGAAAGGATTTTTGTTTTTGAAGAGAGATCAGCCTGCTCCTGGGTGTTCTTGCTCCTGTGACTTGTGTCAGAAGGGCAGGTGGCAGCAACACCTGCTCATAATGTGCTGTTCTCGCCTCCCCCAGAGCTGGACGCTACAGAAGGACACCGGGTTACACTGAAGGGAGTTTGTGAGGTGGCTGTTTCGGACTCCAGAACATTTTCCCATAGAAAGAGTGTTCCTATATGGTGTTAATTTTCCAGGCTAATTCCACCAGCACCTAGTAACCCACATTTTGTCTCCCTCAACTATAGTATTCAATATATAAACTGTAAGTTCTTATGAAAATTCTTGACTTTCTGGCATTACTTCTGAGGAGAATTATTTTCTATATTTTACATCAGAATTGACCTCCCAGTTTGGACAGTGGGCATTTTTAAAAAGCTGAAGAAGGTAAAAGAAGAAATGTCCCAAACTGTGACCGAGGCTGGTTGTCCAGCTGTGTGCTGTGAACCCCTGCGCTCCCGACTTCTTGGTTGCCCGGCAGTCCCCCCTTCTTGTCCGCAGATTGCAAATGCCTGGCAAGTAGCTGACACACAGTAGGCAAGCACTAGGTGACCACCACTCTCCAAATTTAAAGAGACCCAGTGCCCCCAAGTGTCTTGCTCCTTTTCCTGTGCTCTCTCATCTTTCTCCTCCTCACAAATTTCTTGAGAGAAAACTTTATAACTGCTCCTTCTATTTTTCTTACTTTCATTCTGAAAGTTTCTCAAGATCTCCTAAGCTTGCAGGAGAAACAGTCAATACGATGACTGTTTCTTAGTCATGTTCAACTTCCTAAGCGTTGACCCAGGGCATGTGACTTATTTTTTCTACCCCTCAGTTTCCTTCGGTATAAAATGGGATTGTTACTATTACCACAGTTGTGTGGTATATCATGAATAATGCATGTGAAATGTTTAGCACAGTGAGTGGTCCAACGTAGGCGCTTGGTATCTACTAATATCTTGTTTTCAATTTTTACTCTTGAACTTTTCCCTAAGCTTTATGACCTACTCATGATTTCTCATCTTCTTTAATTCTCTATTTCCTCCAAACCTTAAGCAGTGCATAAATGTGATGGTAAGACAGTTCTGAAAATAACAGATAAATGATTAAGATTGCCTTCTGTGAATCTTAGTAAAATTTCACACCAGTTGGGTGAGAATCTTAGTAAAATGTCACACCAGTTGGGAGATAGGAATAAACCAAAAAATTGAACTTGTGGTCAGAATGCGGTGTGGGCAGACACAGCTCTCCTTGCACAACCACATCAAAATTACAACTAAACTGTAGAATAACCATCCTCACACATCAGAAACCAAGTTGAATGAAAGGTTGACAACTACAGAAGGAAAGAAACCACATCCATCCAGACTAGTAGGAAGGGCGGAGACACAGAACAGCCTGTTCCACATCCATGTGTATGGATAAAAATTTGGGAGGTGTATCTCGGGAGCAAGGACTCCCAGCGCCATACCAGGCCCCAAAAACCAGGGTTCCAATGCCAGGTAAGGTAAGTCCCCTTACCTTCTGGCTGCAAAAATCAGCGGGGATTGAGTCAGTGGAGGAAACTCCTAGAGTCCCAAGCAGATCCTCTTAACCCACACACGGACCTACTCAGACTCACTCCTGAGCTGGAGCTCAGCTTGGGCAGCAGCTTGAAAGGCACCGACAGCACACAAGGAGGAACTGAGGTGTCCGGCATCCAGGTGAGAGCTGGGGAACAGCTATCTTCCAGACAGGAAGTCTTCTGAACCCTTCCCCCAGAGCCTGCAGGTGGGTGCCATATCTGAGACTCCATCAACCTAGCTAACACTATTTGCCCCGCCCTGGAGATCCCCTGAGGCTCCATCCCACACAATTTATAAGCCCACTCAAAATGTTAACAGTGGCATTTTCATATGAATGGCTGGCCTTGGCTCGTGCTTCATAACTTCCTGAATCTTATCAAACAAGCAGCAGCCTGCCTCTGTGGGCCCCAATCTCCCCTCCACCCCCCAAACTCTTGCTTAAGTGGCCCCAGGCCCTGGCACTAGCAGCAGCCAGCTTTGGATCACAGTTTGGCTTCACCTGGGAATCTCCAAGCCCAGCACAAGTAGCAGCCATCTGCAGACTGCTTTATAGCTCATTCAGGGTGGACCCAGGCAGAACACAGGGACTGACCTTCGCCTGCACCATAAGGAAACTGCAGAACCTGCACACCCAGTGGACAGCTATAGACTAGGTCAGAGCACCTCCACCCTGCCCCCACACAGCTGATCCTCCACAGGGGACAGAGATGGTGGTCAGTGGTCACAGGCAGTCCTTGCAGCTGACTGGCCTGAGTAAATTTTTCTTATTGACCTGCCAACAGCAACTGAGGCTCAACTACAAGAGGAGGGTGTACTCAGCCCACATGTGGGGCGCACCTCGACTACCCAGCTTGGGTGATATGAGAGGCACGCTGCTGGGCTCTACAGGACACCTACTACATTAGGCCACACTACCAAGATGGGG